TGGATAGATAGAAAGCTGAACATGAGCCAGCAGTGTGCTCAGGTGGCCAAGAAGGCCAATGGCATCCTGGCCTGGATCAGGAACAGTGTGGTCAGCAGGACCAGGGAGGTGATTCTGCCCCTGGTCAAGGTGAGGTCTCGGTTCTGGGCCCCTCAGTTCAGGAAGGATATTGAAGTGCTGGAGCAGGTCCAGAAAAGAGCAACGAGGCTGGTGAAGGGACTCGAGCACAAGTGCCATGAGGAGAGGCTGAGGGAGCTGGGGGTGTTCAGCCTGGAGAAGAGGAGGCTCAGGGGAGACCTTATCACCCTCTACAACTCCCTGAAAGGAGGTTGGAGTCACGTGGGGGTTGGTCTCTTCTCCCAGGCAACCAGCAGGAGGACAAGAGGGCACAGACTTAAGCTCTGCCAGGGGAGGTTTAGATTGGATATTAGGAAGAGATTTTTTATGGAGAGAGTGATCAGACATGGGAATGGGCTGCCCAGGGAGGTGGTGGATTCACCATCCCTGGAGGTTTACAAGACCTGGTTGATTCTATGATTCTATACATAAAGGGACATTTTCCCCCCTGTCCATCAGGGGATGATCACATGGGAAGCAGTTGATCAGAAGCAGCAGCGACAGCAACCCAGTTTCAGACTGCTAACTTATTCATCAGTTATAAGACAGATCCTGGATACTCCATGGCAAACGAGACTTCAACTCTGCTGCAAGGGGCACCCAAGGTGCCTGCAGCACCTAAGGAACTGAATGAGGGGTACAAAGGATGAGTCATACCTAGCAGATAGCACAGCAGTTCTTATGTTGATACTGCAAATTTATTTCATGCTATCCACAATTTGACAAAAGTCCCTGTAGGGATGTCAAGGGTTATATTACCACTTAAGGTGATCAAAACCAACAGCATCAAATGTATAGAAGGTACCATGTATTTAAAAGAAAATAACATGATAAGGAACTTCCAAATAAGTTCCTTCTCACACTGTACAATAATGCGCTGCATTGAACTGTCATCACACTGCACAATATCCCACTGAAATATGTCAAGCCATTCATAATGTATCAAAAAGATTTATCCTTGAACAATGAGAAAATAAGAAAGAAAAACATGAAAGAATCAGAAGAGTTGAAATTAGAAATGGAATTAAATTGCATAAATACTTCTTATTCTAATCTTCAAATAAGTAAGTTACACCAGTTTTGGGGTGGATGGCTCATGTTCTATACTCCAATTTCAGAAATGAACTAGCTGGCTTTAAAATAGTACCAAACTGCATTAAAACAATTTCTGCCCCCTGTTCAGTGTAACTATATGCTCTGATTCCTGGGAATCATATTTCAACAATACTCCACATGAGCTATAAAAAAAAACTTACAAAAAAAAAGTTTACCAAAGTTTTCCAAAGGCCTGATGTTTGTTGGAAGAATTGTCCCTGCCACTGCAGTAGAAGTGAGAAGAAAGGTCTCAGCCTGAGCTCCGTAAGACATCAAAGGAACTCTGGAAAAGTAAAAACAGTAACATTAGTTGTTTTAGCTATTTGTAGCAAGTTTTGGAAACAATGCACAAAACCAAAACATCAGGCAATCACTACACTTCCAAATTCATCACAGTTAGAGAGAAAGACAAAGCTGACAGTGAACAAAACTTTCCTCCTCGTATTTAATTTCAATTTTAATTACTGCCTAATCCAGGAAAAGTGTCTGAACAAGGTATGATATGTTAAAGCAATATACATTTGGCTTTCTTCAAAGCCAAACACAGAACTGAAACAGTCTATTAAAAAGTAGTAGGTTATACTATGGGAAATAAAATTCTGAAAACTGATTTAGTACTTGAGCAGAACAGCAGCCTTTTCCACAGGAAAATGAGAAATAATCTACATGACAAATTAGAAAAGGCTTTTTTTTTGTAACAAAAAAGATAAATATATACTTATTCAAACTCCCTCAGCAAACCTTGAGCAAAACCAGTTTAGATATAAATCTACAATTTTTAAGTAATCACTGAGCTGGAATGAAACTTTCCCTAAGGCAAATTATATGAAAAAAAATTTAAATTTATTATATAAATCCTAGGTGCAACTTTTCATCACCATTAAAAAAACTCTTTACTTGCTATTTAGTCTTTATTTTATGCCAAGAGAGTAAAGAGACATGTAGTTGTTAAATTAAGATCACGGAAAGAACCAATTTCTTACTGAGTTGTTTTAAAATCAGTTATTTTTATGCTGCTTCTTAATATTCACAAAACCATCTTAGTGGTATGTTTTAACATATATCTCCTTTCAGATCAAAAAACCCAAACTTTAGGTTCTCCATTTCAGTTGATAGAACTCCCTTAACTCTTTCCAGCTGCATTTGTTTATAAACAATTACAGAGAGAAGTAACAGAACCAGCCCATGAAAGGGGAGTACAGGGTAGCGTGGGAAATCAGAATTGATGTTATAGCAAGCACAGTCCAATTCCCAGGAACAGAAATCATTTACAAAGCACACTGAACACTAACTTCCAAATGAAAAAGATAGCCAAACTCACATTTCTGTGAAAAAGTGACATATTAAGATGCACAAGTCAGTGAAATTACTATGCTTGTCACGAGTACCAAAAAAACTATTAAGCCATACAGAATCTATTGATATAAAACTACCATGCAGCAAACACACAAAAATTAGACAAGTTAAGTGCAAACACTTTAGTTTTAGGATCAAATGATATTTTATCAAAAAAAGCAATTTGAATTAATCAGACTCCAAACTTGAAGCATTAAGATCCTTTGCACTATGAATCCAAAACACACACACACCTTTCAACTCTAGCAATCACAGATGAACAGGACAATTCCAGTTCTTGTCTCTTCTGTCTGATCCCTGCATTGACTTCTGAGAATTCTGTACTGAAAGACACATTTTGTATAAAAAGTTACAAAAAACTAAGTTTCTAGTAAGACAATTTTGTATTTCAGTAATTCCTTCTACCAATGACTTTTTTTTATTTAACTTTATTAGAACTTTCAACACTCATGATTAAACTATGCATGGTTACTGTTTAGACAAAAAACACAGTCAGTAAACATAACCAAAGTCCTAAATAAATGAAACAGATGGAATGAAAACAGGAGATCAGATGTGTCTTCTGGGGAGTTGAAATAAGGAAAAACTTTCCATCCTTGACAAATTAACTCTGTTGCATGCATGGCAAGGTGGTTTTTTTCTTTTACAAACTGCCAAAATATAGACACAGTACTTTTTTTTTAATTAGGTCATATTATCCAAGTAATATTCTTTTAGATTGTTCTTTTTCTTCCATCTATTCAACAAACAAATTTAAATTTTCTACACCCATTCTTAAGTATTAGGCTTAAGTAAGTATTACGTATGTTGCTTAATGCAAAATTGGTTCATGGGTGTTTAAAGAATTCCTTTTGGAATCAAGGAACAACAACAAAGAAGATTGTTTCTGACACAAACCAGGATAACTGTTAACTGTTTTGGTAACTGCTGTTGTAATAACAGGGCTCAGCCTTTCCTATCCAAGGCTTCAATTCAGCAAGAAATTTAAATATGAACTAAAAATAACACTCCTATTAAATCAGCAACATTAAAATAACACCATGTGTGTTTCTAATGCTGAGCACATGACAAACTGGGATGTGCCCTTAACAGTACTCATTTTAGAATGTTTGTGTTTATCCTTCAGCTGCTCTTCATCAATGACTATAAACCCTGCCAACCTTTAAGATATTTCAAGGCAATATATACACAGGCTGGAGCAGGAGGAGCTATGGCATCTACAGTACAGTAACACATCAGTTTACACAAAGCACTGGCATATACTAACCAGTCATTTCTACAGCTCAGAAAGGATTCCTCACTGCTACCACCAGCCAGAAGTGAACTCAAGATATTAGTTCTCATGCACTCATTCCAGCAGGTCTCTCTTCTGGGCTACAGAAAAAGTAAATTATGAATTAAAGACATCCAAATAAACAATTAACATTAAATACATGAAGATGCACTGGAATTAAATTACATCAGCAAGACTTCAGCTCATAAAAAACATAATAGCTCAGGATTTGCAGTTACAGAAAAATTTTCTCTATTCAGTCTCTAGATTTTCAGCACCTGCTCTTTGCAGATAAAATTTTCTGTATAGGCTTTCCACACCAAAATCTTTATGCTCCATGCAGAAATTAAGAATAAACGAGCCTGATCTTTACTATTGCACAATTCCTATTCTGCTACCTAATGCACCACAGTAAGCAGAGTACAGCACCTAGCACAGCAGTTCACTCAATGTTTGGTCTCAAGTAACAAGAAAACCTAATGAGAGAGGCTAGGATTCTCCTTTGCCTGCAGGTAGGATTACAAAATTGAAGATTGACTGGTGTGTCTGTTTCCTGGGCCCTCACACAGGCACAGCACTCAGCAACTACTTCATATTTCAAAAAACACCATCACCTTCTAATTGCACTGCTAACAAGGCCCAGTCACCCCCAGTGTGCTGCTGCCTTGTCTTTTCCCTGTGTGCTCTGTTGCTGTGCACTGGGCTGGCTTCAGGGCAAAACCAAAACACCAAACCCAACAACAAATGAACAATGATCTTCCAGATATCTCCCAGACTACCAGACTGACACACTTACCTACACTGCTTCTAAAGGGTTTATGCCACCTCAAATCTGACTGAAACATTCCTGTTCAGTCCCATAACTGGTATTTTAAGACAGGAACTTAGAATCTTCCCATAATTTTCTTTTATAATAATGAAAAATAAGCTTCATAATGGGGATATATAAAATATGTCTCAATATGCAGTTGTTACCCATATGCTCCATCAGACTTTGGCACAGAGAGCTGTCTTTGCTGAGAATATGTCCTATTTCACCAGCAAGCAAATTTTAAGTTTTGCCTACAAAACTGTTGATTTTAAGTTTTATTTAAAAATACTGTAATTTTGAACATTAGCATTTCTCTTTCCATCTAAAAAAGCTACCCAGATGTTCTACAAACGTCCTAATGAAGTGGTTGTTAGTACATCAGTGCTTTCTTTTAAATTCTGGACATTTATTGGATAATTGAGCCCTGTACCTCCTCCTGAAAGGACACACGATGTGCCCCTATACTACACATGAGGGCAAGGCAGCAGACAAAGCAGGCACTCAAACACAGTTTTTCCACCAAATTTTTAAACTTTGGATAAGGCAGAATGATGGACAACCATGTAATTTACTCTTCAGAATTAAATTTATGGCCTAAAACTATTTCATGCAAACACACATTTACAAGTACAGTTATAAGTAACTGATCACAACCTTGTGTCCAAGAGACACAAAGTGTTTTTGAAAGGAGAGATGGTAGAAATCAAACAAGAGAACCTTTACAGCTCATTACAACTTTTGCCATATGTGTTTATAGGCTAAAATTTATGAACTAAATGAAAAACCTAGAAAGAGAAACATTCTTGGGAGTAACTTCCCACTTAAAAAAAGACAAAAAATACCTGATGAAAACTATAAGGTCTACAAGCTTATTCATGTAATAAATTACTTGGTTGATTACAACTATGAACTTTTATTAAAATAAGGAAAACCTTCACATAGTGGTGCTTGGCTGACAGCTTATAGCTGAAACATCTTCCTTTCGTGAAGAAAAATGGAAATGGAGGGCAGGATCTTATAGTGTAACATCCTAATCTCAACAAAAATATTTACTATACAAAATTAAGTTTAATCTGAGAGAAGCTCATATAACCTATCACTATATTCTGATTACTTCCAGACAAAAAGAGACAAAATAAAGTTTGAATCACACTAAAATTAACAAATAGAAGTTAATCCTAAAAATAAGTAGAAAGGTAGTCATAAAAGTGCTTTAATGAAAAAAATGTGCTTACAAATACTTCATTATCAGAACCAACCTTGTTTATCTTCACAGACAAAGCTTTCTTGTTTTGTTTGTCATATAAAATATTACCTGTGTGGAATAAAGAAGAAAACTTTGATCTTAACTTCACATTCGTTCTCGATTGTTTGTCAAAATCACTAATGCCACAGGAATTTAACAAAAATGTGCACCTCCAGTACATTTACAATGTTTACATATAAACTGAGTGAAATGAAAAGGCTTTTTAGATATCAAGTAGTTTTCACCTCTTCAAATGTTTGCTTAGTTTCATACCTTAGGAACAGACTCACCAAACAGTATCTACTAAATAAGCCCCAAAAATACAGCTAAGTGCTGCTTGTGTCTCAACTCTCACCAAAAACCTCCTGCAAATAAAAGCTAGTCATGAGCTGCTCACCAACTGTGTGATGTAGAAAATGACTTTAGGCTGAAACCAATTTCCATTTCAGTTGTCACTGCAATGGAAGAGGCAGTTTTCCAGTAAAATAAGAACAGTAGTTTTACACACTGCAATTCTGTTCTAAAATTTCTATTACTTCTAAACACTTGTACTACTTGGTATTTGGTTTTCATATACAAATGTAAGCAGCTTATAAAAAGATTAGGTTGGCTCATCAGAAAAGAAATGATAGAGTTCCTTAATAAAATACAGTAGTTCTAGCAAATGGAGGACAATGACCAACTTACTGTATTTTTTCTTCACAACTTTGCTTAATTTTGCTGTTAATGGCCCTCTGTCTGGACATACAGCTCTTCTGCAAGATGAATGAAAGATATTACAAAAGTTCTTTCTGGGCATATTTAAGCTAACAGTATATCCATCCAAACAAAATCTGCTCCTATTTCAAGTAATTTTTATTTTGTGCACATGAACCAAGACCTGACTGCTATTAAAACCTGAACTTGCATCACGACTATCATCTTCCATATATTAAAAGCCACAATGCTTCAAAAAGCTAAGAGAGAGGAATTTACACAACAGAAGTTAACATCCTGTATTAAAATCAAAATGCTTCACTTTGCTTGATTTCATGGCAACATGTGAAAGATGTTGCAACCTGCTACAGAAATACTTTCAAGAATATCAATGATGATTAAGAATGGTGACTCTTACTTATTTTTCATAACAGTCAATTTACGTCATTATTTTTTTCTGCACTGAAGTCTGCTTCACATTAAATCTCAGGAATTCTCTATACCTCATAACCTCATACATTCCATTAAACACTGACTTTAGATTAGCACTGTTCAGTGAAATTTGTCTGTGTAATCCTGAGCTTTCCCTTACACAATGCAGCAAATGTGATAGGAAGGTTTCTCAGAATGGAAATGTTATTTCCACAGTTCCCTCTCTAGAATAAAGTCAGCTCCTGACTACGACTATGCTTTACAGTAAAGAGGAACACCCTCAGAGATTTGTATTTAAAATATGACCTGACCATAAAACCTTACTTCACATGAATAAGAAATTTGCCAGAATTGCTTGAGAAATACAGCTCCACTGAGCTCAATGGAAGAAACACACTGCCCTGTACTTCCTGCTTGCTATTCTAAGTATTCAAGTGGGAATTACAGCAATGATAAAAGTAAAGCTAAAGTATGACTGATAGAAATTAAGCTATTAATTTTTAAAAATTTCCAGGCTGTACAGTTTGAAACATTTGAGTTTATGTGGTTTTAATATACTAATTCAAATGCTTGAAATTATGTGGACAACCAACCTCACAAAATTTCTCATCTTCTCATGGCTGTAATTTTCCTTATGGCAGGCACACTTTTCCTCTTCTTTCTTCTTCCTTGGTTGTTTTTTAACCTGAACCTGTATTGTAAAACAGACTTTTTACAGATGACTACCAGGGCAACCAGGGTACCCCAAGAAACACAAGAAATGGGTAGTGGGAGCCTGTTTTCTAAACATCGCAAAATGCAAAACCAGCCACTTATGAAACAATTATAACCATAATTTATATCAGAATTTCAAATCTGTACACAGAATTATCAGCATCATTTTCCTACTCGATAAATGACTCTCCACAGCAGTATTATTCAGAAGGATTGAAAGCTGAAAAAATTCAGAGATTTAGGTTGAACTAGGCTTAGCATTAATTGATTCCTCCTGCCTTCATGTGCTTTTGTCTGGAAATTGGAGGCTGTGAACACAGAAGATTCATCTCAGCTAAAACATAGGGCAAGATTGCATGGTAATTGGTGCAGTATTTGTTTACAAAACCTGGTTTAGAAAGAACTGAGACCAATTACTATACTTCTATTCTTGCATATATCAGGAACCCTCAAAGATATTAGAAAGCAGCAACAGCAGCTTTATGACTATTATTAGCACTGTAAATACCTGCTTTGAAAAAATAATTCGGACTAATTCCTGGCTTCAAATATGTAATAGAAACACTAAACACGAATTATTTTGTTAAGAAAGCTTATTTAACAGAAGACATGAATAAAGGACTGCAGTGTAACTTGGGTGTCCCTAAAAGTGAAGTGATTTAAGAAAATAAATCTGGAACTTACCTTTATCTGCTTGTCTAATGCACCAAGCCTGCAAACTGCTTGAAATGGTCTGCGATCGATAGGACACGAAGCCTCTGCCTGGAAAATTGTTTGTCTTATTACAAAACGTGTAACAAGCTAAGAGAAGTCTTAGTTTTCTATACTTTTATTGGCTGTTACAGCAGCCAACAGAATCACACTAAATCACAACTTGTTCACTGTAAGAATGCATTTGGACACATTACCCATACACTCAGTATATTGTTTCACATAAGCAGATTGCTCCTTGGGAAAAAATCTAAAGGAAACAAGAATGTAACTCAGAAGTTGTTTAAAAAAGTAAAAGCATTTTATCTCTAGTTGACTATATTTTTTCATTTTTAATCCCTTTTAGATAACTAGTTTTATACTAATACACATCCTGATTTTGGCTGGGATAGGGTTAATTTTTTCTTAGTAGCTGGTATAGTGCTTTGGGTTCAATGTGAGATTAATGCTGATAACACAGTGAACACCACAACCATACACAAATGTCCTCTTCACTTCTTATTGTTCTAACGTTTTATTTCTTAATTTTACTTTCAACAGAAAGTGTGTTGGGTTGTGTAACCCCCAAAACATAAAACTGGTAATGCCAAAAGCAAACAAGGTAACACCTCATCCTGCTTATCTATTTTACTATACCACATCTCTTTTTGCAAACAGTAGAGAGAACAGATTCCCACACAACTAGTTTTACAAATCACTTTGTATGAGACAGGAACTGAAGGCTATTTCACCCTAGAGATTGATAGAAATAGAGATTTATTGTTTTTCCCTGATCACCTAAATGCTCTCTTATTGAGGCTGCACTGTATCAGATAAAACACACACACACAGAGCAATAAAACATTATTAACCATAGAACAGGGAAGCTTCAACTGAAGCTCTACCCAACTGGATCATATAGTGAATTAGCTTCCAGAAAAATCAGTATTGGATATCAAATTTTGCTGTGAGAGAACTGTTTATTCATTTTAATTCCATTTTGGGGGTGTGGGGTGTTGCTCTTTGTTTGGTTTGGGGGTTTTTGCCATGATTACACACACACACCCTTAATTCCATTTGCCTTCAGAGGCTCAGTTCAAAACACTTCTAAAAGGCTTATAAAGTATGTTATGTAGGTCTAGAAAACATGTCATATGAGGAACAGCTGAGGGAATTGGGTTTATTTAGCCTTGAGAAGAGTTGGTTCAGGGGTGACCTCATTGTTCATTGCTCTCTACAATTAACTGAAAGGGGTTGTAGAGAGGTGTGGGATGGTCTCTTCTGCCATGTCTGCAAAGAGAGGACTAGAGGGAATGGTCATAAACGGGGAGAGGGGAGATTCAGATTAGGTATTAGGAAAAACATTTTCCCTGTTAGGGTGCTCAGGCACCGGAATAGGTTGCCCAGGGAGGTGGTGGAGTCACCATCCCTGAAAGTGTTTAAGAACCATCTGGACCTGATGCTGGAGGTGCAGGGGTTACAGCAGAGCTGTAATGGTTTGACTCAATGACCTTAGAGGACTCCTCCAACCTTGATGATTCTATAAAAACAAAGCAAAAAACCCAAAACACACCCCCAGCCTCCAGCCCTGATTCGTTCACTGAACAAGAACCAGTATATGAATTGTATGCCCCTAAGAGGCACACAGTTTCTGCACTTAGGTAAACCATCAGGGTATATTTGTTTATGCAAGCAACATGCAGCATTAGAATTTAATAAGCAGCTATAAGAAACTTGCATATGAACTCTGCCCTGAAATTCAGTGGTGAACTTCATTCTTGTCTTCAATGGGGCTTTTAATTTGTTCTTTTCTCAGTTCCAAAGAGCGTTCAACTTCTTTTTCACCTATCAGCCCCCAAACATTGAGCATTCAGGAAGTTTCTGAGCTTCTGATTCCAACTGAAGCAGATAGAACCAAATTAGACTGACTAAAAACCCCACAAAACAAAACAAAACCCTCCAGGGGTAGTTTCATGAATAAGCTGTTGAATGAGAACGTAAGTTAAAGCCATTACCTATCCTTTTGATGCTCTGGTATTTTATCCTAACTAAAAACTTTCTCCTATTGTGGGACACCATTGTTCCCTGCAGTGTCATGGGCTTGGTTAAGAAAAGCTATTGGGTAATTAAGGCAGTTCCCCAAGGACTCAGATCCTGAAGACAGTTTTTGTCCTGTAGTCAAGGTAAAGCCAACCCACAGTAAGATAGCAGTGCATTGTTCAGCTGGGATATTTGATAACATGCAATGCACTGTAGCTG